TAATTTGGCATAACGTACTTATTTTATTAGTGAGTAGACATCTTTTTCTTTTCTTTCTTTCTTTTTTTTTTTTTCAAGAGATGGGGCCTCACTATGTTGCCCAGGCTAGACTTGAACTCCTTAGGCTCAAGCAATCATCCTGCCTCAGCCTCCCTGAGCAGCTGGTACTACAGATGCTCCACCACACCTAGCTATCATTTTTAACCCCAGAATTATTTCTAATTAAAAATAGAATGTTTAAGGGAAAGTGTGCATAGTGTTAATAGTCTTATGTTAAGAACTGTTCACATTTGTTTTTGGTTTTTGTTTTCTTTTGTTTTTTGAGACAGAGTCTCGCTCTGTTGCCCAGGTTGGAGTGCAGTGCTGTGATCTTGGCTCACTGCAACCACTCTCTCCTGGGTTCAAGCAATTCTTCTGCCTCAGCCTCCCTAGTAGCTGGGATTACAGGTGCACACCACCACACCTGGCAATTTTTTGTATTTTAAGTAGAGACCGGGTTTTGCCATGTTGACCCACGGTGGTCTCAAACTCCTGACTTTGTGATCCACCCGCCTCGGCTTCCTAAAGTGCTACAGGCATGAGCCACTGCGCCCAGCCAAAACTAAGCATACTCTTATCATACAATCCAGCAATCATACTTCTTGGTATTTATACCCAGAAAAGTTGAAATCTTATGTCTACACAAAACCTGAACATGAATATTTATGGCAGCCTTATTTATAATTGTTAAAACTTGGAAGCAGCTAAGATGTCCTTCAATAGGTGAATGGATAAAATGTAATACATCTATAAAAAGGAATATTATTCAAAACTTTAAAAAATGAGTTATCAAGCCATGAAAAGGCATGGAGGAAATTTCAGTGCATAATGCTAAGCAAAGAAGCCAATGTCATGTATATAACATTTTGGAAAAGGCAAAACTATGGAGACAGTTAAGAGATCCATGGTTGCAGGGGATGAAGCGGGGAAGGGATGAAAAAGCAAAGCACAGAGGATTTTTAGGGCAGTGAAAATACTCTGTATAATACTATAATGGTAGATACATGGCATTATATATTCACCCAAATTCCTAGAATGTACAACACCAAGAGTGAATCCTAATGGAAACTATGGACTTTACTAATTATGATGTGTCAATGTAGATTCATCAACTAACAAATGTACCAATCTGGTAGGGGATGTTGATAATGGGGAAGGCTGTGCATGTGTAGGGGCAGAGTATTTGGGAAATCTCTGTCCCTTCCCTTCAATTTTGCTATGAACCTAAAACTGCACACACATAAAATAAGTCTTAAAAAAAGTAAATAGAGAAAAAAATTAAAACTTCTGTTTTATTTTGAGACTGAGTCTCATTCTTGCCCTGGCTCAATCTCGCCTCACTGCACCCTCCACCTCCCAGGTTCAAGCAATTCTCCTACCTCAGCCTCCTGAGTAGCTGGGATTATAGGCACCCACCACCACGCCTAGCTAATTTTTATTTTTAATAGAGACAGGGTTTTGCCATGTTGGCCCGGCTGGTCTCGACCTCCTGACCTCAAGTGAATGTCTACCCTGGCCTCCCAAAGTGTTGGAATTACAGGTATGAGCCACCGTGCCGAGCATAAAAATTGATTAGAACTTCCAAGAGTACATACTCTATGATTCCATTTATATAAAATGCAAACCCCTCTATACTGATAAAAAGCACATTACAGGTGGGTCAGAAGGGATCTTGCAGGTGATATGTATGTTCTATATCTTGATTGTGATTGGTATACATAAGTGTAAAAACTTATTAAACAGTACACTTTAAATGGATGGAGTTCATTTACTAAAGTATTCGTCTGTGGATCTGATGAGAAAAAAAGCAAAACTCAAACAAAATAATCAGACAATATATATGTAATATGTAATTAGGTATAAGCAGAAAAGTCATGCAAAGGACAGCAACTTTTAGAGGAATAAAACAAAATTCTAGTTTCCCTTTTTCATTTGTTCTCAGTAACTACAGGCTTTGTCAATTCTCTTCCCCAAATATTACGTACAGATAAAGACCTCATTTTATAACTCTCCCTCACCCCATCGTATCCAATCCCTCCTATCCATTCCTAACAGCCTCTGGGAGGCCAGAGGGGATAATTTTACCATTTAAACTTCCACTAATCCTGAATGTCCTGGATGCAATGAATTCTGAACCACAATAACTCTATATTAGAGAAACACAGAGCAGAGTAGCCTACTCATTCTATCTTCATGTTTCTGTTTTCTCTTCCTGTCCATTTTGTTAGAGGATTTATTACACTGTTGTGCAGTAATTGACATTTTTCTTTTTTCTTTTCTTTTTTTTTTTTTTTTTTTGTTGGTGTTTTTTTTTTTTTTTTTTTTTTTTTTTTTGAGACGGAGTTTCGCTCTTGTTGCCCAGGCTGGAGTGCAATGGCGCGATCTCGGCTCACCGCAACCTCCGCCTCCTGGGTTCAGGCAATTCTCCTGCCTCAGCCTCCTGAGTAGCTGGGATTACAGGCACGAGCCACCATGCCCAGCTGATTTTTTGTATTTTTAGTAGAGACGGGGTTTCACCATGTTGACCAGGATGGTCTCGATCTCTTGACCTCATGATCCACCCGCCTCGGCCTCCCAAAGTGCTGGGATTACAGGCGTGAGCCACCGCGCCCGGCTAACATTTTTCTTTGTTTCTCTTTTAGACTGATAAACTCTTTGTGGGCAGGAAGAGTACCTTGTATCTCTCTCCAGCTTTAGTGCCTATCCAACAGGTTTTGCAGTGCTAAGTGAATTCCTCCCCTCTTGATTACAGGAATGCTAACTAACCCACAAAGATGATGCTGTTAAGGTCTTTCAAGATCCAGCTTCAATGCTAGTTTCTCCTTGAAGCTGTTTTAGCATTTTCCCACCAATGCTAAAACAGGTCACATTCTCTTTTATTCAAGTGTTCAGGCTTTGGAGTAGGACCTGAGATCAAATCCAAGTCCTGCCATTTACCTTCTATCTTAAACAAATCACTAAAGCTCTCTAACAACGATATCAACCACAGAACAACCAATACTTACCATGTGCCAGATACTGTTCTGAGTGTTTTATATGAATTAACTCACTTAACCTTCATAGCGACCCTACGTTTGTACAACACAGTGAATGCAACTAATGTCACCTAAGTATACACTTTAAAATGGTTAAAATGGCATATTTTATGTCGTATATCTTTTTATCACAATAAAGGTAAACATAGGCACAGAGAGGTAAGTAATCTGCTCAAAGTCACACAGCCAGTAAGCAGCAGAACTACTTCAAACCTCAGAAGTCTAGCTTAGAGTCCATACTCTTAACTTCTATACTGTATTGCTTCTCACAAAGTCTTATTTTCTTTGTATATAAGAACAGCATTACCTACCTTACAGGTATATAAAGTGCTTCACACATGGCAAGAGCTCAAAGACGTTATTTATTGTTTTGCCTTAGTCCTTTTCTACACATTTAGACTCCCTGAAGGCCAAGTCTTTCTTAACTATCTTTGCATTTCTCTCATTGTACCCAGCATAGAGTACAACAAATAGCAGACTCAAAATAAATACTTTCTCCAGAGGAATATCTGTGGCATCTAGAAACCCAAATATGGAAGAAAAAAAACAAAAAGACAACACTATACAAGTAAAAATTTGAAGTGTTATTACAGATATAAAGTAACATTTGTGCAATTTTTATAGAGTGCTCCATTCTGACTGATGCAATTGACACTGAGCTAGCTAAGGTCTTAAGGGTAAGTAAGGGGAGACAGTACATCTATTTCCCTAGGTGGCAGTTATAAGTACTACAAAATGCAAGTCCAAGGAAAAAAATCCTCAATCGTGACATCAGGATAATCATAACAGTAAAATACTGTTTAAAAAAAACAAACAAAAAGGCCAGACGCAGTGGCTCACGCCTGTAAACCCAGTACTTTGGGAGGCCGAGGCGGGTGATCACCTGAGATCGGGAGTTCGAGACCAGCCTGGCCAACATGGAGAAACCCTGTCTCTCCCAAAAACACAAAATTAGCTGGGCATGGTGGTGCATGCCTGTAATCCCAGCTACTCAGGAGGCTGAGGCAGGAGAGCCGCTTGAATCTGGGAGGTGTAGGTTACGGTGAGCCAAGATTGCGCCCTTGCACTCCAGCCTGGACAACAAGAGCGAAACTCTGTCTCAAAAAAAAAAAAAAAAAAGTTCAACGCAGCAAAACTCGGCTCTACAGACACACTTGATGCAGAAGACAAAACAGAGCAACCTTTGTAAAGGCTAAATAACTACAACAGTATTCTCAATACTATTTGGCATACGATCTAGAAGACCAAGGTAGAGTAAACAGTAAAGACAAAATGAGGAGACCTACATTTCCAGATCCCCGTGGCACTGATATTGGACTGTAAAACCACAGATCTCAGGGCTGCCACCTTAGTGCCAAGCGGACGCAAGGACACGTAGTGTAACTGTTCCAACTTGGACGGAGCTCAGGGTGGTCCAGGTCAAAGTCGGTGCAGTCCACCACGGCTCAGCTCTACGAAAGGGTTGCAAGGAGCTGAAAGCAGCAAAACGGCTTTTGTGGGGCCTACAATAGCCTTCCCGAGCGCCCCAGAAACCGCTAAACCTCGTCTCTCCCGAATCCACCTGGAGTCGCTCCGACTGGAGAAACCAAGAGTCTGCCGCCTTAAAATGTCTAAAACAATAAGCAACTCCAACTTCCACTTTCAAAGCGCTTACGGTTTCCATTTGCTCCTTTGCCTCAGTGGGAGGAATGGAACATGAAGACACCGCTTCCCGCCCCGCCCCAGGTAGGCCCTGAATCAGTTGGGGGTTAAAAATAATGAGGCGGGCAAGGCAGCCTCTGGCCACAGACTCCAAAGAAAGGGAACGACCCGAGCATCAGACCAGAACAGACCCTCACACCGGGGCCCTGGGGTCAGCCGGGCCCCGCAGCAGCAGCCTCGAAGGGACAAGAAGAGCCAGGAGAAAAAGAGAGCGGCAAAGCTCACCTGCCGCTTGTTCATCCGCCGCACATCGTCCAGAAAGTCTAGAGACAGCATGGCGGGGACGGCGAGCAGGACACCGGCAAGGAAGAAGGCGCGATGACCAGCGGGCGGAACGACTGGCTCTCGGGTCGGGCTCACACTATACAGTACCCCGCAGTGCCTGCACTTCCGGTTCCGGGGCGGGAGCCGGCAGGGTCTGGCACGGTCCCGCCCCTTCGCTGCGGAGAGCGGACAAAGAAACTCACTACAGTGCTAGTCCAGTCTCAGGGCTTGGCCTCGCCGGGGGAGGGTTCTCCCGCTCTGGCTCTAGCAAGAGAGCCAAGAACCGACTGGATGCCACTTCTTGGGATCTGCCCCGCGGCCCCTCACCTAGGCGGCGACCCAGGTTCAGGTGGGGAGGCAGCCCTGCCACCTTCGGAAGGCGGGACCCTGTGCACGCCACGCCAATCGCGAGCAACTTCTCCGGTGTGGGCGGGTATGGGTGTGGCAATGGACGGGTCCTGTGTCCGTGAGTTCTCAGGTCGAGCAGGTCTTCCGCGCTACGGAAAGCTGACGAAGTGCTCCTTCTTTTTTCTCTTCTTTTCCTTTCCTTTCCTTTTCTTTTTTTCTTTTCTTTTCCTTTCCATTTTTTCTTTTCCTTTCTTCGTCTCACTGTGTCGCCTGGGCTGGAGTGCAGTGGCGCAAACTCGGCTCACTGCAACATCCGCCTCCCGGGTCCAGGCGATTCTCCTGTCTCAGGCTCCCAATTAGCTGGGATTACAGGTGCGCGTCACCATGCCTGGTTAATTTTTGTATTTTTAGTAGAGATGGGGGTTTCAATCTGTTGGCCAGGCTGGTCTCGAACTCCTGAGCTCAGACGATCCGCCCGCCTTGGCCTCCCAAAGTGCTGGGATTACAGGCGTGAGCCACCGAGCCTGGCGGACGAGGTCCTTTCAGTAACTGCTTTTTGCGTAAGGTTGAACTAAATGAGAGACCTTCAAAGCACTGCCTGAACCTGCCAGGAATTTACAATCCTCTTGATTGGAGAGAAAACAGCCCGAGACAATTAGAAAACACCCAAACGGTGCAACAATGTGATGAGACCACCAGTGGTGTGGGTAGTTAAGAAGTGACTTCCTTTATGATCTTGACTTTGCTGACAGGATTTGACATGGTCTCCTTGAATTCTACCTCCTGGTTTTCTTAACTGCGACACCTTGATGTGACTATCTTTTCGCTACCTTTTGCTTTGACTGGCCAAAGCTCCTAATACTCACTTCAGTCAACAAAGACTAAAACTGGATTACTTGGTATTATTTCTCTCTCTCTCTCTCTTTTTTTCAATATAATAATTCTCTCCCATTAGGGAAAGATGAATGAAGGATATACTGGAACTCTTTGCACTACCCTCGAAATTCTTTAAATGGAAAGTCATTCCAGAATAAAAACTTGAATTTATTGGAGGATGGCTGTTAAAAA